AGAAGAAACAATCCAAAAGGAACCTTGTGACTCCAAAGGTTACACACACACCAAAATGCTGCGTGCCGCAGCAGCTTCCACCATCTTCATCCATCACACAGAACACATGAAACAGAAAACTGTTCCAAATCATCACTCCCCTATTGTGAACAGATGACAAGTGGCAGCTACAATCGAATCCTCTTGCACGGAAAAGTTCCGAGAAAGAAGAACCCAAAACATGTCCCTCAATAGCAGATCCGATGAATTTCCAGTTTTTTTTGTGACTGATAGAACTGCGAAGATCCTAGTCTTAGAGTTGCTCGTCCGCCCCAAGTCTATTTATTGGACCAAACTCCTCCGCCTTTGAAGGGCCGGAGGGTGGCAGGGATCGCAATTCCAACCTTGGCAGGCACAGAAGTTGGAAGCTGAAAGCTAAAGTAGAAACCAGCAATATCATGTCATATACCCTCCAATTTGAAGCAAAACCAGCCGCCAAGAAAAGGCAATGCTAACAGCAATGCAATCAACACTGATGTGTGGTTCGCTGCAAGCTCCAAATAGAAGGCTGGGTCTCGCAAAAGAATCGCGTGATACCTTAGAACAGCACAGGGCAAGTTTCAGGGTTTCCCTGTCAATTCCATAGGCAAGCGAGTGAGTCAAGTATCGTCACTGTGGTTCCGTGGGGTAAAAATTGATGGTGCGAATCTCTTGTCGTTTGCCGTGGAACTGTCCAAAATCCACCCAACCGCCGGCAGGTGTTCCGCGAACCCTTCCACGAACCCAAACCCAGCTAATTTGTTGCCCCCGGTCAATCCCAAGGAACACTGGCAGCCAAAGCAATGCCAAAACGCCGACTGCATTCACAAACAAGTTATCTGCAGCGAAGCAAAGGAACCCGAAGGTCACATCTTTCCTTGTATGTGTCGGGGTTTCTCCACTGTTGGCGCTCTTTTTCAAATCATCACATAGCAATGTATGGCAGTCTTCAACCACAAAAGCGATAAGGTCCACGACAAGTCACATCGTATCAAAGGAGTCTGAGAATACTGGGCAAATGCCAGTGATGGTCGCTTGGACGAACGCAGTCTTTGCAAAGTGTCTTCCGTTGGGCAACATGTAGGCTTTAAAGGCGGCCTCTTTTCGACTCCATGCGTTCGGTTACGAAGCTTGCCTAGAACACACGGAAGTTGCAAGCCAAGCGCCAGCACCCAAGCTCCCAAGTGCACACAGCAGTGGCACTGTGCAGCGGCCAGCACCCAAGCTCCCAAGCGCACACTCAGCAGCGGCACCCGCACACAGCAGCAGCACCCTGCAGTGGCACAAGCACCCAAGTGCACACACCAGCGGCACCCTGCAGCGGCACCAGCACCCAAGCTTGCAGCACCCAATCTCCCCAAAAGGCAGCGGCACCCTGCAGCGGCACCAGCACCCCAACTCCCAAGCGCACGGCAGCGGCACCCTGCAGCGCCAGCACGCAAGCTCCCAAGCACACACACCAGCAGCACCCTACAGTGGCACAAGCGCACACAGCAGCGGCACCCTGCACTCAAGCTCCCAAGTGCACACAGCAGCGGCACCCAGACTCAAAAACGCACACATCCAGCTCTTCCTATAATTGAAGTAGGAACCCCAATAGCCCACGCTATCTGGAGAATAAACATTGATATGTTAGTGATTGGGCACATCCAGGACTGCACTTCAAACTTCATGGCCTAGTCTTTGGAACTGGTTTCCTCTAAAAACTCGATGTAACGGCTACCGGCTCTGGTGACGGTATAGTCTTGGTGCGTTTTCGTTGGGCAAACCCACATGTGACTTGATTTGCCCTATCAGGAACTCGTTCACTATTTCGAAGCATGAAGCGCCTGCAAGAGCACCCAAAGACACCCACATGCAAAAAGCCCAGTGTAGAACTCCCAAGCTAGGCCATGCTCCTGACTCAGCTGCTCTGTCAATATACTGACCATTGCTGCCTGAGCACCAAGCTGCCACTTGGACATAGCGAGAGTCACAGCGGGTTGTTGGGCAGAATGGCTAACCATTCCTTTCAAGTGGGTGGGTTTGTTCTTTCGACACCGCACGAGTTCTTTGCCGGGTGCTGGACCACATGACAAAATGACAAAGCTTGCAGTATAGGATTCACGACAGCAGGAAGCTGCGCAATAGCAGGTTAATCAAGTCAAAGGGAGTGAGATTCCACCTATGCCCTATGCTGAATGAATGAACTACAGGGAGAACTTATGTGCCCCTCAGCATTGTGCAGCGACAGAAAGCAAACTAGCGAGTAAATGGTGTTCCAGATTCTATTCTGTTCGCTTGCTTCACTTCACCTGGACAATGCAATCCCATGCTAACGTTGCTTTGTTTTCAACTGGCAGTCAAGACAATAACATTGGCCTAGTTCAGCTGAGAAGTCCGTGCATTCTAACAGCCAATTCCATCAACTAAGGATTACACCGTAAAGCACAGAATGTAGGTGAAGGCATACACCAGCATGACCAACTTTTTCTTACATTTATGCCACCAGCGTTTCTGGGAGATAGATAGTTCTGACGAGCGATCTCTTCTTCCATCCTTGGAGCTCAGGGCATCTTTGGTGCGCAAAGAACTCCAGGCTAGGCCAGAGCGTCATGTCACGTGCACATAAAACATATATATATATATAACAATAAAACTAAACACACACAAGTCTAAATGCTTCAAGGCAAAAGCTCTTGCAGAAGCCCCTCTTTCCAAAGCTCAAAAACTCTGCTACCGAATCTCCTCTGGTACTCGCACTGCCAAGTCCTGACTCCCTTTCTCTTGCAGACTCTGTTTCTTTGGCGGACTCTCTTCTTGCTTTCGCCAGCGTTTGACGATGCCAGCAAGAACTAGCATCAGAGTCCCCAAAGCATTGGTCGTCCTTGCTCTCTCGCAAATGCATACTCCAATGATTCATGCATGATGTGCTTTATGGTGAGGACGATCACATCAAAACCAACCCTACTGCAACTATGTCAATTTGGCCTTCCAGCGAGGATTCACTTGAATGTGTTCTGTGACTTCTGCCTCAATTAATTGTTCGTTTTTGGAAAAAGAAACCGTCCGCCACACATTGACCAGAGCACCCTCTACGTTGAGTCAACTCGGTCAGTTAAGGACTGCTTGCAAGCTAGGTGGCAAGAACATACAAACCAGCACTGCCACGTACCTGGCCGCGAGATCAGAGACATGCTGGCAAGCTGTAGTACAAATCGATTTGGCCACCAATGAACAGCTTTCCACGGGGCCGCGATTCTGCTGAGTCTCAGTCTCAGTCTCAGTCTCTCACGAAAGGTTTGTGATGGCTACAACCTACAACCAGCCACTGGCAATGCAGCATAACAAAACCATGAGTGTTCAATCGCTGCCATGCCACATCCTTGCCCATCATCTATGCCCGGCCGAGGCGCCGACTGGTTCTTGTGGACAGGCCAGTCCACGTCTGCACAAGCTCCTGGGCGGACTCCAGGGCGGAGTCGACGGTGTCGTTGCCCGTCGCCATGGAGCGCCGAACGAGTTCTGGGCGGCTTTCGTCGGGGGTTCTCGTCCGACGAGTCGGGGCGCCTGGAGCCATAAGAAACCCAAGGAGTGATGGCAGAAGAATGATGGGTGGTCCAATGCATGCACTTTCATCGAATCCCCTCAATTCAAGCGGATTACCTACTTATGTTTGTTTGTCTTCCTGTGGAAAGAACTGGTCTCAATGTTTTACCTGGCCACTCGAGGTATATCAGCTCTACTGTTCCTCGGCCGAAGCACTTTGCACTGAAGTATATAGTCTCTTTTTGCATCAGCCATCGGAAGGGCAGGGGCACATTCAAACATTTTGGACATGTAAAAGTGGTCGAATCTTTCAAAGATGGGAACCCAAGGCTCGGATGCTCTGCAATGACAGTTCATGTTCCCGACGTTTTTCCACTCTGCCCTTCAGGTATCTGGAATGCGAGTTCTTGGAAGTTTTGTCTGAAATGATTTGCTGATTGTTCCGAGGCCTCCCCTTTGCCTCTCAATGTTCGAGTTCATACTAAGTTACAAAAAAGGACTTTGTAGGGTTTTGCTGTCTGCAGACCTTGCGCAACAGTGTCGCATGAAACCAATTTTCATATGTATGTTGCAGATCCTCTCTGTTGGCATCTCTCTTTTCCAAGCGAGCAAGTCTTCCTGAGAACTTGGATGGAAAAGGTTTAAGAAAAACGCAACCCTGAATTGATCAGGACAGTGTACAAGTGAATTTGGTTATAGATCGGTGCACTAGTCAAAGATTTGCTCTTTGTGCCAACTTTTTTGTACCACTGAGACGGCTCTTCGAAGTCCACTGCGAGAAAAAACTACAGTAAATGAAAATCCCACTGTTCAGCAAGAAAGCCCAGAGTTCCTTACTTTGTGTCCAAAACAATCCGGAGGGCACGCAAGGGTGTCAGCAGTTTCTACAGTAATTGGCACAGTAGTAGGAAATGATTGTTTGTGCAACGTAGTGTTGAATAGTTGGTTTGCTATCTGGTCTGCTATCTTGTGCGCTTGCAGAGTTGCCAACAACTGATTTGCTTAGTTCAGTCACAGGCTCGGACGCAGGGTCTTCCACGGATTCCACGGCAATCACGGAGCTTTGTCTTTTACTCTGGAGAGGAAAAAGGATTCTTGCTGATCACTTTCTGGGGTCAATTGGCATTCCTCGTTCTTTTCCAATGCCATATCTCCGATGTAAAGTTCTCTGCAGTCCACTTACAGTGGTGGTTGTAGCAGCTTTTCTTTTGGCTTGAACTTAGAATACCTTTAACCTGCAGCGATACTAATTTTTGTTCAATGTGTTTTTGGTTGTGTTTCTTCTTTTTGTTCTATGCTCTAATTGTTTGGTTTGCTCTTTCCGCTGTGTCTGCTCTTTGTGTTCCTTCTGCTCTACCTTTTCATTAGCATTTCCATGCCTGTGTTGAGCACCAGTCATCCTTCGACTGCCTTGGGAACATTTAACATGGGACGATTTGTTCACTCTCGTGTTTTTCTTCTTCAATGTGTCAGCGGTACCTTGTTCAGGACTATTGTGATAGTACTGTGACCATGAATTGTAGGAGAAATATCTTCATGTACCGGCATATCAACACTGCTATGATCTTGACCTTCTTTTCATTCCTGTCCAATAAACATGATCGAATTAGACATGCAATCATCCTCTGCAATAGACGATGGTGTATATTGTGTTCCTGCACTTCTGCCTGGACGATACTTGTCCCGTGGGAACTGTCTATTGTGAAAGTATTGGCCCATTACAACTTTGATTCCAGATAGGAAATTTTTGTGGAAAAAGTCTTTCAATGTGCTGCCTGGCGGGACAAATACAAGCAAGTTCAAAAATGATTGGACACAAATATGCAGACAACTACTTTGACTGACCATCCATCTTCCTTTCTCAAACCTCCGCTGTCTGATTGCAAAGGACTGGTTTGGGTTCTAACTTATACATATATATATGTGTAAATGGAAAATGCAATTCTGACATTCATCAATTCTCATGTCAAGCTTAAAGGCCACAGCACAAGAAAAATGCCAGCATAGACGCCAAACAGTTTCTGTTTTTTTTGCATCAACTTGTTGAATTCCAATGGGTAACGATGTTTCAATAGCCTCCAGCTGCTTAGGAACAATTGTTTCTGATTCCCTGGTCACATGCACAACAACGAGAAGATGTACGATGTCATGAGATTATCCAAGGATGATATAAAACTCGAAACGTTTCTTGCTGTTGTTGCATTCATAGTCACATGAAAACAAGCACGAAAGAACAGCAGGAACACAAGGACACAAGGCTCACCAACAACGCTGCAGAACGCGGAAAGAAGTGTAGAAAAGGACAGGTTCAGAACATGCAGAAAAGTCTGTTGCAAACCAAACTCTTTGCAAGGCGGCCGCAAAGGTTTTAGTTGGTCAGCCATTTCAACGGAGCTTGGATTTGGTTCAAACTGTTGATTTGTTTGGTTGCAATGTTTTTCTGCAGTTGCATTTTTCTCTTTCGGTGCTATGCTGCCTTCGGGTTTTTTTTTGAAGTGTTCATCGCAGTGCAAGCAAAACGCAAGCACGCGAACTCGCAAGCATGCAACCAACAACCAAGCAACCAACAAGCAAACGACCAACCAACCACCCAAGCAAAAAACAAGCGCACGCAACCATCCAAACAACACGAAAGCTGACCAAACACAAAAGTAAAACACCGTTTTTATTGGTTGGGTCGGTCGAAAATGCTTGCCCAAGAGTCAGCTCATCCTTTGGTCCGCTTTTTAAAATCTTAAAGTTGGATCCGCATAAAAAAACCACATTGACAAAGACAAGATGTGATCGGAAAAAGTCAAGCCAACATTATTTGTGCAACCTCTTTCCACTTTTTTTCCTGTTGTTGGAGTTGCGCCAAGAACCAACAGCACGCAAACAAGAGTTCACACCAGCCAAAATGCAGTGTGCCCATTTTTTTTGCACGAGTCGAGGCGCTATGTGTGCAGGTTGTGCACAAGTCACCTTAAGCTAGTAAAAGAAAGAGAAGTGAACCGGCCAGCAACCCGAAACCGAAGCAACCAAAAAAAACCCCTAAACAAAGCAACAAAGAAACAACAAAACACCCCACCAAAACGCTGGCTAGGTTCATATCTCAGGATGGCTGAGTCAGCCTGAAGAGCGGTGAAACAGGATGTGGCCTGGGGCAATGAATTCATCCCTTGCGCTCAGTACGTCATCATCAGGTTCTTGTGCTTCGTTTACCAACGAAGTAAAATCACCAATGTTGCACAGTCGGAAGGTTGCTAGATCAATTTGCATTGACATGGAGGGCAATCAAGACAGCAGCATTCCGCTATCATGCTCACAATGTTCCAGAGAGGTATGGATCATACGAGACATTTCGACTCAGGGAAAACAGCTGGATCAGCAATCGAAAACTACAAATCGTCGAAAGGAAGAGCCAGCGGAGCCATGTAGTCGAGAGAGTGGAGGTGCGAGCAAATGGCCCCCCCCCCCAGAGGGAGGGGGAGTAGCAGAGGTGCCCATCCACGATGCGACGGTGACTCCAAAAACAGCTTTGCAACAGGGAGTCACAGAAAGGCAGATAGTTTTCACAGCTCACCAAGAGCCGAGTTGGGCAGTCGACTGGCGCAATCATAGTGGGGGTCATCCGGCGCCTTGCAAGTGCGCCTCCTATGTGCAATCATTTGCATTCATGAAACGTGCAGGCCCTTGAACTACGTGAAACAAAGTGAAACACCGTTATCCTAGGTTCTGTGCGCTGTACAGGCTGTACATTCTGTACTCATCCAGGACTACCACTAGGGTGCCACAAGGTGGCTTGCTCATGTTTTGGTCAGGACCAGCACATGGGTGCAAGCCTGAGCTCTTTGCATAGCTTAGCAAAGCTAGTGTGGTCCTTGCGCAGTTCCTCATAGAAGTCATCAGCCCACATGTCGCAACCGCTATTGGTGTTTGGCGGAAGGAAGTGAATCCATTTTGGTCTGTCCAATTGTCCACATTCGTCAAAGGCATTAGCCTCAGCGTATGGCCCCCTCCCGGTCTTTCTTTTTCCGGTTTTGTGGAATGTGCAAAGTTGCTTGCAGCCCGCAAAGGCTCGTCGAGCAATATACAGCAAGGTTGGTGGGGTACGCACCTCTCGTAGCGAAGTGCATTTGAGAAAAGCTTCTCGTCCTATCCTTCGTAACTTGCTGGAAAGACTGAGCTGTTGTAAATGTAAACAGTGTGCAAAGGTGGACCCCAATATCTCACTTATTTCTGTTCGAGGGAGGTCGACTAACTGGAGCTGCATGCAGCGCTCACAGGCCGCAGGTCCAATCCATGGTAGGGAGAGCGAGACGATCCCAGCCTCCAAGAAACAGCACTCAGGCAAGCATCTTGTCAAATTTGTCAAATTTGTGGGGTCATACTCAGTTTTTTCGAAATTGAGTTGTCGCAATGCAGTACACTTCTCAAAGGCCCGTGGCC